GCAGGTCTTACCTTTTGAGCTCTGTCGCCTTCCTTGCTGTTGTGTCCAGGGAAACACACTGTAAAAGAAAACCTTCTTGCAAGTTCAATCAAACTTCTCGAACTCGTGAGGTTTTCTTTTACAGCGTGTTTCCCTGGACACAATGGCGAGGAAAGGGACGGAGCTTGAAAGATAAGACCTGCATCCCGCTTCTCGCCTGCTCCACCTGCCACCCCCAAATTGCATCCCTAAAGGCAGCGGGTGGCTAAGTGAGAGGCAGGAGTCCTGTCATGCCTGACGAGGGGGAAGAGAAGAGACAGCAAGGAGAGCCAGGTCTCGCTTCACATGTCTCGCTTCTCTCCCACCCCACCTGCCACCCCTTTCGGTAAAGAGACGGCTGGGAAGGGAAGCCACCTTTGCCATTGGGGGTGGGATGGGACATGTTGAGCCACTCAGCCGGCGCGAAGAACAGGAAGGGGAGGGCATGTCCCCCCCTTCCCTCCCTCTGGCCATATCTCCTCAACTCATTTTGGTTGCCCAGCAAGCAACCAGAAGAAATGGGAGCAGCTGTGCATGTGTGTAAGTAGTTGGTGGGGCAGAGCTTATCACATACGCTCATAAGCCGATTGGGCTTATTTTCCGGACATGTCTTATTTTTGGGAAAACATGATATATGTCCAGTTTGATGATCCCACAATTTGCAATGGCATTTTTTCCTCTTCATGACTCAAAAGCATTGAAACATCCAGTTTGGTTTAATACCAACAGAAGAGAATATCTGTTATTCAGGGTTGAATTGTGGGGTCCTTGGTGCTCTGTGAGCTTGATGGTTTTCTTGCAGACATTTCATTACTCAACTAGGTAACATCATCAGTTTAATAATAGCAGATTTTCTGTCTGTGATGTGTATTCAGAGTTGACAATGTGTAAATGTATTAAGGTGTAAAGTGTAAGCTTTCTTGGGCTGCAATTTCATTAGTTCTGCTGCTAAATTGCTTATGAAATGGAAGACAAGTGAGCAGCAAATATCAAATGCATTTGTTCCAAAAACAAGAATATGGCAGAAAACATGTTCCACAATATACTCAAGGCCACAGGAAAAACTAAATGTTTAGTTTCATTTAAAATGGAATTCAATTTACCTAGATTCAATTTTTAAGTGAATATTTTGATTATGTGCATCAAGTCAGTATTGACACTTAATGACTACATTAATTTTCTATGGAAATAATTTTATATTTTCTATCCATGTGGTGGTTGTTTTTTTTAATTAGAGTAGTAGTTCACCATTGCCTTCTGCCAGACATTTGCTTTAGCTGAGATAGCTTTTGCAAATGGCTGATCACTGGGGAAAACATTTTTGATATCCACTCCCAACATTCTTTGCTTATTCCTCCCAAAAACACACTCCAGTCTCACAACCACAATGAGGCAACGTAAGTTATGGGTATTACTTCCCATGTATTTAGTAATTTTATTTTGTCTCATTTAAAATTACAGGGGGGCGCAACATTTTTAAAGAGTTGCTTTAACACTTTTGGAAACTAAGTAACTGCCTCTATTCAGTGGTGGGATTCTGGGGGTTCTAGGGGGTTCGGCCGAACCCTTTGTTAAATTGCTGGCTCGCTCCGCCCCTTGCCCCGTCCCTCCGCACTACTATTTATTCCCAATAAATGGGGCGAGCGAGCCAGCAATTTAACAAACAGTTCGGTGTTTTTTTGTAATTTTATTGGCCCCCAGAGCTTCAGCATAGGCTAATTAGCCCTTGATTAGATCGGTTCCCGACACTCAGCTGATTTGTCTCAGCTGTTTTACTCAGGGCTCTGCTGCTTCCTTGCAAAGAGTGCTGGAGCAATTTTTTTTCCCCTAGCTATGCTTAAAAACGAAATTGAAACTGCTTTGCTGTTGCTGCAAGGTTGGAAAATTAGGCAGGCAGAATTCTTTTCTTTTTCCTCACCAAAAAAGGTAGGTGCAAACAATGGGAAATTTAGGGAAAAAGAGGAGAGCTCAGGATTTTAAAACACAAAAGAAAAAAAGCTCTATTTAACTAGGGAATTGTAATAATTGAGATACTATTAATTGTATATTTCTGAAAGCAGAAATGGTTAAGTTGTGGTTTGGAGGAATATATGGGGGAAATTATTTGGTCTATTATTATTGGTAAATATAATTAATTGATTTGTAAAAAATTGGATTGCATGGAAATAATTGGAATATTCATGTTCATATTGATTAATATACAAAAAAGGTAGTTATATAACTAATTGATTTATATTAAAATGTTGAATTTATATTAAACAACTAATATTACATAATTAACCAATGTGAGGATGGATATAAAAATAGATGACAATGGGAAGGGGTATAATATAGACTAGAAGGGAAAAATTGAATTTGATTAAGATTAGAGATGAGGATGAAGGGTAATATTGGTTTTTTACAAAAATAGATGAGGAATAAATATGGCAAAAAGGAAATATAGAAATTGTAAATTTAATTGAAATGACTAAACACTGTTTAAATTTGTGAACTGGCCAAATACTCTGTTCAAAGAAAATACATTGTATGTTTGTATGTGTGTTTCTAATTATTGTTATTTATTCATATTTGTTCTCTTTTATTCTTTAAAGTTTAACAATTCATTCTTTATCTTAATATCTTTATATTTGTTTGGGGTTGGCTTTCTTCCCTTTCATCTTTTTTATTGTACAGCAATCTTTCTCCTCAAACCTACCACCTCTCTCTTTTCTTTCCTTCTTACTTTCTCTTCCTCCCCCTCTTCTTCTCCTCCCTACTTCCTCTTCCTTTCTCCTTCTCCTCCGCTCTTCCTCCCTCTCTTACCCTCACTCCTACTCTAATTTCCCTTCCCTTCCTTCATCCCTCTCTATTGCTGTATCCTTTTATGCATATGGACTACTCAGAGGGCTGAAAAAGTTATTTCTGACTGGTCCTCGCACTTTTGACCAGTCCTTGAACTTACGACTGTCCTCACATTTTACATTTTTGCCCTATCTTGTCACCATGGTGAAGAGAAGCAGTTGTGAAAGGAGTGGCATGGTTGTTAAGAATGCTACAATGGGCATAAATGATGACCAGTCATAAGTGCGAAGACCTGTCAGAAATCACTTTTTTCAGCCCTCTGGGTAGTCCTTTTGTGCATATGGACTACTCAGAGGGCTGAAAAAGTTATTTTTGACTGGTCCTCGCACTTTTGACCTGTCTTCGAACTTACGACTGTCCTCACATTTTACGTTTTTGCCCTATCTTGTCACCATGGTGAAGAGAAGCAGTTGTGAAATGAGTGACATGCTTGTTAAGAAAGCTGCACGGGCATAAATGTGAGGATGGTCATAAGTGTGAGGACTGGTCAAAAGTGCGAGGCCCAGTCAGAAATGACTTTTTTCAGCCCTCTGAGTAGTCCCTATGCACATAGCCACACCCACCCAGTCACATGATGAGCTAGCCACGCCTACAGTCATGTGACCAGCTAGCCACGCCCAGTCACATGATTGCCAAGCCACGCCAACTAAGCCACGCCCACAGAATCTGTTGTTAAAAAAATTGAATCCTACCACTGCCTCTATTAAAGCTGGAGAGATGACAGAATTAATTATAGGAACGAACTAGTTTTGCTGCTTGAATACTATTTTGCATGTGTACTTGTACAAAATGAAAGTATATGTCAATCATTCTAACTGGCCTTGCATGTTTATCACTTACAATGTTAGATTTTATTATCAGATATTTAAACTATGCCATTGGGCAGCTGTGATTTATAAGGAAAAAAACAATCATACAATAAAATAATTTTAAATCTGTTATTTTTATTCTTAAATCCTGAACACAAAAATCCTTAAAACCTGAGCATGTAAATAATTCTAAGCCCTACAGGTCTTTTCAAAATTTTATTTTTTAACAAACAAATATTTAGTGCAAATGTAGAATCAGGGATTTTCCTTCCCTATTTATAGGCATGAACATATAGGAAGAGTGTTGGAAGAAACATCCTTCTAGGTTCTGCTCCAAGTGGGGAAACAGACACTGGAGTCATGGAGACTGCTTGGAAAGATGGTTTAATGGTTGACAGGATCACATGGCTTGAGTTCCTGAACAGAAAAAGGGGGCAGATACAGTAAATCCTCGGGTTTTTATGCTCTCTCTGGCTCTGCATTTCTTGGGGCCCCAAAAGAGTATCCTGATTGGTTGTCAGACTCCCAGGGGGTGGGGGCCTTGCTGGCTGATAGTCACATGTGCTTCCCAGGTCACATGTGGTGAGTTTCTGCTGCTATTGTGTAGAGGGCTAATCCTATCTTTGTTGGATCTTTGGCAATTCCTACTATGGCTCTGCCTGAAGGAGGCAGATCTTTGTTATGTAGAATAGACTGGCCCAGGCCTTAATGGCCCATTGACAAAGAGTGGGGGGCAGGAAGGTGGGAGCTGCTTTGTCTGTAAAATATGCTTCTCCATTTCTCATCCAGGGAAATATAATATTCTGCCTTTTTCATATTTCCTAAAATATTTCACTCTTCCAGGAAAGGGGTGGGTGCTAACTTCCTACAAGAGAAAACAGTTTTCATTCATCCGGAAATAATTTCAAATATCGAACACATGGCTAGAGAATTTTATGAACTTGAGTTGCTGCACCTCTTAAATCCAATTGGAGGTCTCCAGGATTGTACCCTAGTTCTCTGGGATGGGCTTGTTTCTCCACCTATTAATTTAATAGAGAAGTCCTTATCGCACCCTCTCCTAAATGACCACAGGAAACTTGGGAATTAGAGAAGGCGCCCATTAAAGAGCAATTTAGAGATAAGCTGTACCCTCTTTTTTTTCTCTCCTATGTTCTGGACTGAAAGCTCTGCCGCGCCTATTTTCGACAAAAGGCTTCTCTTCCTTATTACATTGAAGCAATAAGCTTACATCTGATGATCCTGCAGGGGTGGCGCTTCTTTTAAAACGGCCCTCTAATTAAATCCTGATTTCCGGAAGAGAAAACGGAGGGGCGGTGCTTCCGGCCATTCATTCAGCCCTCTCTCAGAAGCGCGCCAGTTGCTTCCTTTCGCGAATAACGGAAGCGGCCTAGTTTGAGGTGGCTGCGCCAAGCTCAATTTTTCATCATTCCGTTTGGCATCTCACCCTCGGGGAGGCCTTTGTATCTGGTTTAGCCGCTTCGAGTTACGCCTGTTGCCTTTCCGCCATGAAACTCGTGCGGTAAGTGTCAGCTCTTAGGGAAAGGCGGGAACAATCTGGAAACACGTTGGGCCAGGAGGTCCTGGCTTCTTTTCATGGCCGCCTCCCTTTTCCTCTCCTCTTTCTAGACTTGGGTTCCCTCCGACACGCTGAACACCTTTTGTTGTCTAGTTCTGCGGCACAATTTTGAAACGGAGAATCAGTATTACTCTTAAATGCCTTCAGAGCCAGCAATTTGTTTCGAATAGGTGGCCATTCACAAAGGGCAGCGAACCTATTTCTGGTACAGAGTAGACAACGAAATCCTAGCAGATGTAGGTTAAAACAAGGGAAAAGCTATAGCTGCTCAAATAGAAATATTTTACAGATCTGATTTTAGACCACCTTATTCAGTGTGATTATTATTTGCTCATTTGAGAATACCACCATATTCAGTCTGGTAACTGTAAAGCTGCAGTATTAATATCATTGGGCAAGTACAATCAAAAGGTTGGAACAGATTATAAACAAACTGTATGTAGAGGCTGTATCATGAATGCCCATTACATACCTAATTAGACAAGCAATTAAGATGTGCATTTGGGACATGAGTATTATAATTTGAAATGGCCAAATCACCAGGCTGTTACATTAGAGAAAGTCTAAAATACTGCCCTGTGAATTACCAGTTTATTTACTCTAAATATAATTAGACCTTTTCCAAAGCCTGTTTTAATGCCTTCAAGCAGTTTTAGAAGGGACACATTTTTTCAGGCACACAGAAGTTTGTCCATGCAAATCTGGGAGTTTGAAACATATATTTTTTTTATCATGCAAGTTTTATTCTGATAAGCATATTAAGCATTTATGAATTATGGACTAAGACTGCAAGAAAACATTGAATAGAATAGATAGCACTGGTGATATTACCTAATTGCTTAATGAAACATCTGCAAGAAAACCAAGCTTAGAGAACAAGGATTCCACAATAGGTATTTTGCTATTCAGCTAAAGCCTATTCTTATTTATCACAAAATTGAAGAGAAGACAAAGCTGTCCTTCTCCTTCCTTATTTCTACTGATGTTAAATCAGAAATTATAAGAAAATAAAATTTCAAGAATCAGGCTAGCAAACCAAAAAAATTAAATTAAGATCATATGCAGATGATGTAGTATTACTAATTGAAAGGATTTTCTGGAATTGACAAAACAAGCAGTATGGCATGATATCTGATTAAGACTTGGATAATAGGACAACTTACCTAAAGGAAAAAAAAATATTTGGAACTTGAGAATTTAACAAAAAAGTAATAAACATTATTTAAAGATACTTATTAGCAGACTTGAAAATATAGACTACCTGATTTCGTTAGATGGAAACATTTAAATTGCTTTGAATAAGAATTGCAGAGATAAAAACGAACATTTGGCTTAATTTTTTAATTTCAAATTATTTTGGAAAGAATTGAAGACAAAGTATTAAGTAGAAAACAAATAACTAATTTTAGTTCTAGTTATTTATCCAGTAAAAATATCAAGCTTAGATTTTACAAATCTTGAAAGATGGATTGAGACCATGTTATTTGAGGGACTGCTTCTGTCCAATTTCATCTTACCAGATCTAGCAGAGAGAGCATGTTATGGGTTCCTTTACCTAAGGAACTACATTTCATAGGCCCTAGGTGAGAGATTTTTTCTGCTGTTGTGTTTACACTGTGAAATCTTGTCCCCCCTCTGGTGAGGTCACTGTCCTGGTCACTACAGAGCTTCTGGAAGTTGCTCAGGACCTAGTTATGCCAGCTGGCTTGGGGATCCTACAGGATGAGCCACTATTTTTAACATCCCTTTAATTGTTTTAGTTTGATTGTTATACTTTTTAATCTATTAACTGTTTTAATTCTATTGTTTTCCACTCAGAGCCATTTGTGAGATGGGCAACTATATAAATTGATTTAATGATAACACAAAACCATCAAGAGTTGATTTGAGGCAGATTAAAGAGCATTTATACACGCCTTAGTGTATTATCTTCAAAAGCCTAAATCAGGGTTTCTTGTATACGATTCCTCATCTTTCTGGGTTGATTACTTGGACTATAGAAGGTTCCCAACTGTTACTACAAATAATTACCTGTCTTTGCTTAATAACATTCATCAGCCAATAGAATGACTTGAATGTCAATTGGTTGTTGATATTTGCTTTGTGGAGACATTTGCTTTTTGCATGAATTTCATCTTTTATTGTCATTGTCTCATTACATAAAGAAATTCATTTACATATAAAGTAACATGTTTGTTCCAATTATGCAGATTTCTTATGAAACTTAGTCATGAAACTGTCACCATTGAACTGAAAAATGGGACTCAGGTACATGGAACCATTACAGGTATGCGGTTCTGGATGAAGAAATTATCAAAAAAAATTGTAACTAAAATTCTGAATATTTGGCAGAATTCACAGGTATCTTTCATGTAAATCAGGAGTGTGTACATGTGGCTTCCATTTTATTGATGCAAGTATATTTATGCTTTGAAATAGAACTACAGCAGTATCTATCTGCACTGGGAAATATCTAGCACTTTTAGAATTGCATTCCTGGATTAGACTGAAAAATCCGCTTTCAAGACTTACGTAGACCATTTGTGATCAATCATTCTTGAAAATAAAATTTGGCTTGTAACACAGAGTTTCCCAACCTTTCCAGCTTTGCAGACTGGCGGAGGGGGGAAGAAGGAACAGTTATGTATGAGTGGCAGGCATGCACACTTGTACTCGCACAAATGGAGTGCATGTGCTCGCCTGCTGAAAGTGGGGATGTGCGTGTTCGCCTGTCACTTCCACGGCCTGGTCCCGAATGGTCCAAGGCCTGGTGGTGGACTACAGTTGGGGACATCTGTTGTAGCATATCTGTTTTCCTTTTTTAAAGCCTTTTTTTTTATTGTAGGACATCAGGTAGAACAAAAGGCCCCATAGTTGCCAAGGGAGAAAGTGTGACCAGTTGGCTTATTTGTTATATTAGAGATCATAGTTCTAGTTAGAGTAAGATTGTGATAAGGGAAAAAGTTTTGAGTGACTGGAGACTAGGTCAAGTACATGAGTAGTGTATGAAGGAAAGAATTTCTGTATGTAGGAAATATGATTGAGAATATTAAGGAAGAAAACGGATCATATTTTTCAAGCAGTGCAGATAAAAGATTCTAAGAAAATGCAGTTTTTTAAAAAATGTGTTTGTTTTATTTATAATCCCCATGATTTTCCATGTGATAATCAAATGTACAGCATTCTCACTTTATTACAATAGGTAATTTATGCTAGTTGTATGGCCATAGGTAGGCAATTTTGTAATAATATAGCCTTCTATAAGATTAGGAAATGTTCTATGCTTTATTTTTCAGGAGTGGATGTCAGCATGAATACCCATCTTAAAGCTGTAAAGATGACTTTGAAGAATAGAGAACCTGTCCAGTTGGAGACATTGAGCATTCGAGGCAATAATATCAGATATTTTATTCTGCCAGACAGTTTACCTCTTGATACTTTGCTGGTGGATGTTGAACCAAAAGTCAAATCCAAAAAAAGGGAGGCAGGTTAGTTTTTGATTTCAGACTTTAACGTAAATATTTGCTTCATTTAAGAACATTTTAATTAAACATTTATGATGATGCCTAAATTGCAGGTTTAATTCTTACTTGTAGTGGCTTTAAAAATAAATTTTAACGAACAGTTATTTCACATTGATTTGTACCACTTCAAAAATAAAAGTTGGAGGATTTCTTACTCATTTGCTGTTATTATTTTTGCATAATCATGTGATTAATAATTTCTGTAGTGAGCTTTCATCATCCCACCCCTTCAAATCAGCTTTGATTCTATAAAACTAAAGTATAGATTGTTTGGTATTTGACTAGATACCATGTAGGACTAATTTTTGAATAAAGGAATCACATGCTATCTTTCCTCTCATTTCAAAAAAGGTCTTCCAATCTTAAATTCTGTAGCCCTTGTCTTGTAACTAATGGAGCAATATCAATTGCTTAAATAATTCTTAAATAGAAAATACCTACTTCTTAAGTTACTTAAACAGTTAATTTTCTTTGGACAGAAGCAGGGACTAACAGCAAGTACTGGGGCACATAACACTACACTTGTCACTAGAAGACAAAATCACAAAATTGCATCTACCTTACTTTGGCCATGTCATGCAAGGCCATTTCACTGGAGAAAGCAATTATGGAAGAGTTAGTGGTAAAAGGAAATCAATTTTCAGTATTTGGAAGCAGAGATAAGTGACTTGATAAGATCATTGTAAGAAAAGAGAATAGTTTAACAAATTTGTAACAAATAGTGATATTCTTTCACTTTTGAATTACTTGGAATAAGTTTTAAAATTAAAAATATATACAGAATACAAATGTTATACAGTAAAAAGGACTATGGTATGATTGCCTTTAAAAATATAAGATTGTATTGTATTGTATTTTTTTTTTTTATGTTCAGTTGCAGGTAGAGGACGTGGAAGAGGGCGTGGAAGAGGAAGAGGGCGTGGAAGAGGAAGAGGGGGTCCAAGACGATAACTTCTTTATATCTGTTATTAAAAAAAGCCCCAAACAAGCGGTATTTTTCTTTACAGGTTTTGTTTTATGTCAGTTTTAATAAACAAATGTGGAAAATGTGTCAAGTTCTGCATTGATACATTACATGAAACTCCTGATTACGCTTGTATTATCTTTAACTTTGACAGCCAAAACTTAAATAGAAATGTTTAATTCTGAATGCCAGAATTGTGAAATTTGCAGTCTATCTTTTCTTGTTTTCTTCTTATATCTGAAGAAATATACTGAAACCTGAAGCATTTGTGAATATTTCAGTTTATAAGAGAAAATTAAACAGATAGTTGTCATTTAGCAGCCACATTTGGGACCAGCAGTTCCGTTATTAAGAAGTCTCTAAAATGCTTTTCTTTTTCTTACTCCTCTCTGCTCTTTGAAATTCTCACCACGATGCTGGGATAATTAGCAACAAGGGAATTAACATTTGTATTTACATTTGTTGAAAGGGCTTATAAGAGAGTAAGCAAGCACACAATGGGAAATGCATCAGATTTGCATAGCGCATTCTCAGTACTGCATTGACAATACATTGCTTTTAATATGTATGCCCCATTGTGAGCTTTGTTACTCTTGTAATACCTTTCCAATCTCTCTACTCTACAAGGTGGGAGGTGGGAGGAAAAATAACAGGTCATGTACAGTACAATCTGTGCTGACCATAATGGCACTTGTGTCTGAGAGGATGCTGTGGAGACTGTAAATGTGGGCATTGCTTGTAAAAAAATTTCCAGTACCATTGTAATTTCAAATGGTTTCTGAACAAGTTAATTTATAAATGATAATAATCGTATTTTGAAATTACTTTGAAGAGTGGCATAGGGAAACAAAAACATTTGAACTGTAGTCCCTTTGTCTTAAAAACAATAAGAACTTAAAGGCAAGTAAAACAAAAGCTCTAATTTTCCTCACATTTTTTGACTTCAGTTTCGGTGATTTGATAAAAATTATTTCACAGAAAATATTTAAACATGATGCCACATTCAGTATGCAACTAAAATCTGTATGTTTTTAGTTTCTTAGTTCATAATTCCAAAGTAGCCCTTACTTAAAATTTCCCATCCCTGTTGCCATTGTTTTTATAGTTCTTTTGGGAATTATGGACATTCATTAGATTGCTACAGCTTTGGTAGGTAGTAAAGAATCTGACAATGCTTTGCTCATAAAGATAACTTACAAATAACCATGAAAATGAGTTGCATAAATTATGTATCAGTATAGAAAAATAATTGCACCCTTTGTAGTTTCTTGTACCACATGACTTGGATGTTTTACAACCATATTCACATATGCCAGATTTCCTTTGCATAATTGCACAGAACCAATGTTTTCAAGTATAATGTCTTTATCTGTCAAAATCAATCTCAAGTTACTTCTGCAAAGCCGTTTTTTTGATGGAGAATGGATAAGAGACTATTTTAGCAGGGATATTTGGTTACCCAGGATTTGCTTCATTGCTTGCTGTGACCTATAATTGATATAAACTTCAAGCTGGAATGTGAAAGCTGCATCAGTTCCTCAAGTCCAATTACTGGCGATTTCTTCTGAGCTTTATAAAAGTTACTAATGCTCCTAATGGTATGCATGATGATGTTGATGCCACAAGCAGACCAATAACTGCTAGGCCACCTCTTGGATAATCTTTGGTAACCAGTTGTCCCTACAAGAGACATAAGCAAAATATGAAATGGCCTACACTAATACCAAGGAAAGATACATTGCTGTTTTAATCTTGGGGTTCATGATAAAATATATTACTAAATGATCACATTTTTTCAATTTGCATTTTTTTCATAGTGATAATTTTTCATGCTACAAATTTCAGCAACAGTAATTATATAGATGCTAGTACCCTAGAATCATTTCAGATTCAAGAGGCAGATTTTTAAAATCATTTTTCCAACTTTGGTCAATTTTATTGAACTGCAATTTCTGGAACTCCCAGCCAATATAATTTTTTTTCTATACTGGCCAGCAAGTTTGAAAATTGGATTCTATGATTGGAAAACTGCCACGTTAGAAAAGGTTATGTGTTTCATGAATTATTTATTTTTCATATTTCTAGACTGCCCATCTCACCCAATTCCTAAATTTAAGCTGCCAACAGAAAAAAATTCAGCGAAATACCTCTGTTGCATCCCAGGCTTGATACTGGGATATCCCTGTCCTGATGTAGTCCGTGATGTAAAACACAAACAGGCTTATGATTAATATTGGACTGATAAAAGCCCATAAAACTTTCCAATACCAACTTGGCTCATGTCCAATCATCACGCAAAGGTCTTTACTAAATCTATTGAAACAAATAAGCACTGTTGGCATTCCAATTAAAAAGTAGTTGTTATAAAGTATTAGGTTAGAATGCTATCTTAAAATGCTTTTAAAAGCTCTTGACATCTTGGAAGAAATTGGTATATAAATGCAGAATAATAAATTATGCAATGACATGATAATGATGTGATAAGAAAGAAACATTATTGAATTCTTACCTTTTTAGCCCATATATGTAACAAACAGCAATAGTTTCCACCAGTACAATAAGTAGTAAGGACAGTGTAGCAGCATAATCATTGAAGATATTAAACCAATAGTTACCAGCCCTTGTAGTAAATATTAGGCCAATGACACAGTTGATAATACACACGCTGCCTATAAAAAGAACAAATGCTTTCAATCTCAGTGTTAAAAAGATCAGAACAAATTTTATATTCTTTTTACTGAATATGTAGTCCTAAAAATAATGGTCATTTGATTTAATTTCAAATCAGACAAGATGTACTGCAATTTTTTTCAACTTAACTGCTGATGGCTATCATTGGTATAGTAACAATTTATAGAGAGAAAACTTAACACAGCAAAATAATCTATAGTTGAATCTCAGTCTTAAATAAATATACAATATAAAAAAGTCTAAATTACATTGTACCACAAGACTAGATACAATTGGTGTGGGGAGTACCTTTAAGTCAATCTTTGCTCCTTGTGACTGCTTAAACAAGTCTGCAATTTTCTTGGCAAGGTTTTGGGGAGTGATTTTCTATTGTGTTCTTCCTAGGGTTAAGAGAAAGGGACTGGCCCAAGGTCACCCAGCTGTCTGTGCCTAAGGCAGGCCTAGAATAGATGATGTCACAATTTTTAGCCCAGGACCTTAATCACTATGCCAAATTGGCTTTTTATTAGAAAAGGATGTTCACATTTGTAGTCATGGATATTGAGCTGATTAGAAGAGCCTTTAGTTGGCATTCACATATAACTAAGAAGGATTATGCATGATTATGATCAGAGCTATAGAGCTAATCCTTGAGTTACAAATGTAATAGAGCCTGCCAATTACATTCGTAACCTGAGAATTTGTTAATTGGATCATGTTAAATGAATGTAATCCCTCCCTGCTTCAGCCAATGCATTGGCTAATCGAATGCACAGGTGGTTCAGTGCACATGAAGTATCTCAGGGTGGGGAAGACCATGGGGGGGTAGTGCTTCTGACTACCCAAGGCCTCCCCTGACCCACTGAGATATCTCATGCTTCCCCATCCCATCCTGCCCACTGGGACACCACAGGCACTGGGCCTGTAGGGACAAGCGTGCACTGCTCAGCTTGTCTGATTCACTGAAGCTGCCTGCACAGGACCACCCATTCTGTTTTGGAGCGCCTGGCAGCCTCAGTAAGTCTGAAGGAATGTGATTTCATGCCCCCAAAGGCCTGTTCTCTGCACCAAAAGCTTTTGCAAAGGGATGGAAGGCTTTGGGGGAGTGATCTCACGCTGCTCCATCCCTTTGCAAAAGCTTTCAGCGTGGAGAACAGGCCTGAAGGAGTGCAATTGTGTGCCCCCAAAGGTTTCTGTTCTGTGACAAAAGTTTTTGCAAAGGGATGGAGGGCTTCAGGGAGTGATCTTGCACTCCTTCAGGCTCACCAAGACTGCGCAGCACTCCCAAAATGGAGTGTGCAGGCAGTCAAGCTGAGCAGGGCACACCACTCCTGCTCGGCCTCTGCTCTCACCACTCTATTTTTGGAGTGCCAGGAGCAGGCAAAGAAACTATGCTGCTACGCGTACCCCGCATCAGAGAGGCTGGAGAGGAGATAGCTCACTTGAGTAGAGAAGGAGCAGTCAGCCTGTTCTGAAACTCAGGATGTTCAAAAGATAAATGAGCGATCAGGATGGGGACAAGCCAGTGAGCTAGCACATCAGGGCCAGTGCCTGATAGATCCTTGTCAGGGAGGGAGAAATAGGCAGGGGAATGTTGAAGTGTGTCTGCGGTCGGTCATAAGGGTGGACGATTGCCATGGTACTGCAATCTTCATAACTTCGGGACTATCGGGCGTACTTTTGGGGGGTTGTGTCATAACTTTGAACCATCACTAAGTGAACTGTTGTAACTTGAGGACTACTTTATTGCAATTATATGCATATCATGACATCTGCAATATTATCTTCTAATTCTACTGCATTGAAATTATTCAATATCATTGTAGCTATCAAATTTACCTGAGATAATCTCCCTGGGTACATGAGAAGAGAGGAACTTGATGTCAGTCAAAGGAGTAAGAATGGCTGCAGTGTTTCCCAGCATGCTTCCTATTCCCAGCAACAGCAACATGACAAAATACAGCACTGAATACAATTGTGAGAACTCCATATTTTTAATTGCTTCAGAATATACTATAAATGCTAGCCCGGTTCCTTGCACAGCCTGATGAAAAAAGAATGAAATTATTAAATAGAAGAATAAATTCAGTATTTTGCATACAAAAACCATTGGTTAAAGGAAAAATCATTTTCTCCCAGAGCCTAACCATTGCCTTAACAATTGCCAACCATAATTTAAAACCAGAGAAAAAGAAAGTTGAGTTGAACTGAGTCTATGAATTAATTTATTACAAAAATGGTTTCACTTAGAGGACAAAACGGTTAAGACAGATGGCTGCTGTATTTGACTATGATATAAATATTTTTTAATATGGCTGAATTAAAATAATATGCTGAATATTTATAGTTTATATATTTGCAAAAGAATATGAAGTGGAAGTTGTTTTAACACTATTTCCTTGTAGGGTCCAATTCGCTTGTTTGTTGTTGTTTGATAGATATCCTATCTTTCTACTCTGGTACTATTCCAAGTGGCTATCAGATCTCAATCTTTTAAAAAGTTATAGATAAGGAGTAGCACTTTCAACTGAGCCTAAGAATGAACTGGAAGCCAGTGAGAGCCATTTATTGGCTGTGTTTATATCCTAAGCCCGTGCTGGCGAACCTATGGTGCCACAGGTAGCACACAGAGCCATATTGAGCTCAGCTCCTGCCA